CCTCCTTGTTGTCAGTTAGGAAAGACGTGACTAGAATCCGCCTTGGTTTCTCTCCCCCGCCCGCGCGCGCGCCCCGCCGCCACCCTTCGGTTCCCCCCTCTTTTCTTTCTCAGCTCCTCCCGCGTCGCTTGCAAATTCAGTGTGCGTGCACCAAGCCGAGCGGAAAGTGAAGTGGAAAATGCATCTAATAAAATAAAAATAAAACTAAAAAAGAGGCCGTCAACGCATCTTTTAAAAAAAAAGGGGGGGGGGAAGGGGAGATATCCAGGTCGCTTAAAAAAAAAAAACACCACGATACAGCACAAACAGCGATTCTTTACGCGATTAATTCATCCAGACATTCTATAAGAATAGACTATAGAGGAATTTTATTTAATTTGTCCGCATTGCCATACATTCGCCCCCTCGCTTCGCCCCCTCCTCCGTTAATACGCTGGCGGGGGGAGGCTGAGGGAAGGTAACGAGAAATCCCTCGATTGCCCAGTCCCGCAGAACAAACCCTCATTGTTGCAGCCCATCGTGGAAGTACTGTTTGATTATGAAAATAATAACGGTTACACTGACTCCTCTGGGTCATCGCAGGCGTGCGTGCGGGCGTTTCAAAAAGCGCGGCCTCGTTTTTTATTTGTTCCCCGGCTTTTGACAGGGTTGTCGAGATAAGGTATGCAAAGGAAGTTTTTTAGCCGGTTAATTTATGGCTGTGGATATCTAGCATTAAGATAAGGCGACGTTATGATACTAAAGATCAATATTTCTCTTCCTTAGGTGGGCAGGTGTTTTCCCCCCCACCCCACCCCCGACTCTGTTCTCGGTGTTCTTCCTCCGTTGGCTCGTATCTGTGTAGTAAAACATCAGCGCTTCTGCACCAAGGAGCAAAGTTACGCCTCGGAGAGAGAGAGACAGAGAGAGAGAGAGAGAGAGAGAGAGGCAAGGAATGTAAACCCATCTCCCCCCCCCCCCCAACACACCCACACCAGTTTACTGGAGATAGGAAAAGGGCAAAGCAGGATTGAAGCAAATCTCATTACATCTGCTCTAATCGCTTAGCAACACACAGCCTTTTCTTGAGCTCGGAGCAGGGCTATTGATGGGTCCTGACAAGACGAATTCAGCCTTAGTAAACTCCATAAATCTGGAGCATCTTGTTTGATCGCAGGAGAAGTTTCCGAGATGCCCAGCCCGCGCTCTTGAGGACCGGGAGAGTTTTTGCTGGGGAATATGTCTGTGTGAAAAAGAGAGAGAGAGAAAAAAGGAGAGACAGAAACTAACCAGAAATTCAGGGTGTGTGTGTTTTCACTGGGGGTGGGATGATGGCAAGGAGCTCTTCGCAAATACACATTGACCGTGGTTTTTTTTTTTTTTTTTTTTAATTAAAAACCTGTTTCTAAAGACGGTCCGAGTTAACAAAGCTGGGGCGATTCAATCCACGCTCTTTGAAACGCAGGCACAAAACCGGATCTTGTGCACAGGCAGGCCCAGACTCCCGAGGGCGTCATGGAAGCGGACCCGATGTCCTGGCGGTTCCTTCGAGGTTTGAATCGGGGAGATAAAGCGGGCAGACGCCGCCGCCGACACGCAAGCGAAGGAGCGGGGCGTCTGAAGAAAAACAAAAGAAACGAGGCCGTTTATTATGTCCGTGTAACCAACCCTTGGGTTCCTTGTGCTGTGTGGCTTTCATGGCAAAAGGGAAGCAATGTGGTGGTGATGGTGGGGTCTATATGCAAAAAGAGATGGGTGGATCTCTCGGTTACCTTCCTGAGTCTTTAAAAAAAAAAGAGAGAGAGAGAGAGAGAGTAAAAGAAAGAAAAGAGACTCTGGTGCAGCCCATCTTCGTCTTTATAAATACTGAGGGCGATCATCGACACGTTTTCTTTTTTAGGATCCATATACGGGATCATAACACAAAAAGGATTCTCCTCTGTTTAAAGAGATGGGTGGATCTCTCGGTTACCTTCCTGAGTCTTTAAAAAAAAAAGAGAGAGAGAGAGAGAGAGTAAAAGAAAGAAAAGAGACTCTGGTGCAGCCCATCTTCGTCTTTATAAATACTGAGGGCGATCATCGACACGTTTTCTTTTTTAGGATCCATATACGGGATCATAACACAAAAAGGATTCTCCTCTGTTTAAGGAAAATAGTTTCCGTCCAGGAACATTCACCTACCTTGCTTGCCAAAATGTCAAAATATTCCCATTAGATATACAGCAGGACTCCGGATACACGGATCTATTCCAAGTCCAAGTCGCAGATGCTGAAACAAAGGCAGATTATACCGAAAACCATACTTAGCATGGTTTTTGGCTGCCTCTAGCGGCCAGTTCTGGTAACTTCCTCTTTAGAAATATATATTTCTAGGATTTTTATTTACAATTTTTAAAAATTTTCCGGAAGTAGATATGTGAATCAGCAGATACTGGTCTCACTGATATGGGAGTCCTACTGTACATCTCAAAATCCCTATTATGAACATCAGCAGCCTTGGTCTTCAGAGATGGGTGGGGTACAAAACACCTGGAGGGCTACAATTTCTCAATTCCTGTTTCAAATTTTTAATCCCTAAGGATGCATCCCTAGGCCTTACTTTCTGTCTGTGAGAAAGGAAGTGAGGGAAAGAAGCCCCTCGCTGGAGTGCCGTCCCTTCCACCAACTACAGAAAGGTGCAAACCTCACCCACTCCATCCCTGGTTGCAAAAGAACAAAGGGGTACCAATACCCAGGATTTAGAAGTCAAAATGCCTGGGTTAACAGTTGCCATTCAAACAGAAGAACATTTGGCAGGAACGGGTAGGAAAAAGAAGGTGGCGATTGAGGCGGGGATGGCGGAGATAAAAGGGGAAGGAAAGGGATTACCAGAATGGATCTGGACACAAGATCCCTGGACCAGAGAGTGGGAAAGACTCCGGGTAACCAGGGAAGAGGTGGACTATCATTGGAGAAGAGAGATTCCACCACATCTGTTGTACTGGGGCGAACCCGAGGCTCGTGAGTGGCAGAGGTGACTGAGAGAGGAGAAGGAAAAGGTGGAAAGAGAAAGGCATGAAAGACTGAAATGGAGAGTGGAGGAGGTGAGAAGGAGGGAGGGCCACCGAGACCATGGACACTATTTCCCACCATACGAGATGTTGAGTGGGATGGATCAGGGGAGGATGAGACCGTCCCCTTGTTGGAAGGAGAGGACATTGAGAATCTAAAAGACGACCCCGTTCATGGTTGGCCAGGGCGCTGGAATCCTGAAGAAACAAACCCGTTCTTGGTTGAAGCGAAAGGACCCTTGTCGGACCCGTTGGTGACAAGAGAAATGTTATGGGGCAATTCTGTTGATAAAGAATTCTTGTTGAACACTCCAATAAACCTTTCCCCTGTTGCAAAGTTACCTAAGCCTGAGGATGTTTTTGTGGAGACTTGGTTTTAAAAAATTGAACCCTCACACTGTCATCCACTGAGAAAGAGGATTCTTGGCACATAAGAGATGGTGTTCACTTTATTGGCAAGTTTTGTTGGCTTTCATTTGGGGTGGGGTGGGAGAAGAGGATGGTGTGCTCATTGCACCATGCTCACTGACTGGGGGAAGTGTTGCATTTTAACTGTTGTAAGACTGTAGTTCCTTTAATCCCTCATGATTGCCTGCGCTGGCTATGGCAGTGGGCAGTTGCAGTCCAGTATTATCCAGAGGCCCCTTCAGATAAGGTGGGCTGCTGGTGGAACGGAGTATGAAACAGGAGTGATTTATCTACCTAGTTCACTCTCGTTTGATAAGTCTTTACATTTTCCTAGAGCACAATTTCCAAAGCTGGCTGGATAGCTCCGTGGTTTAGGTATGTGGCTGAAGAGTCAGAGGTTGGGCCTATTCCTGCAAGGTCAGCCAGCCTGTGTGGCCTTGGGCAAGCTGCACAATCCCAAGATGCCCCTGGAAGAAGGGAAGGGTCAACCACTTGTAAGTATTCTCTGCCTGGCAAACTCTGGAAGGGGTTGCCATGAATCAGAATCCCCTTGATGGCACATCATCATGATGATTTCCAAATCAAATTATTGAGCTATGTCTGTATAGCTAACTGCTGGAGAGGTTACCTCTTTCAGAGAAAACAATGGCATGTGCCATGTGCCATCCTGTCAATTCTAACTTATGGCAACCCCAGCAGGATTCCCAAAGTATGTGAGATATTCAAGGGGTGGTTTTACCACTGCCACACCCTCTCGCAGGACATTTCCATGGCCAAACGGGGATTTGAACCCTGAATCCC